TCAAAAAGATACGAGGCTGTGAATTTGAAAAAGTTTGAAAATTTCCCGATTTTCTTAAAATGCCGCGATATATGAGGGCAAAGTAAAACCAGAATTACAAAACTCGGGCACGAATGTGTAGAGCACAGAATTCCAAAGAGAATGACACCGAAAACTCCGGGCTCGGACCCAAAACCAACGCGCAGTACCGCCGCGAATATAGGCAACGTAAGAGCGCTCGGACAACTCAGGCGGCATCTGACGAGCCTGGGTTAAGTATGGATGTGTACCAATTAAGAAATAATCATTTATAAAAATTATTATATTTACAATATCCCTAAGTTAAACTATTAATTATTAGCTAATATTTTCGTTAAGAAATTTTTTTTGTTTAATTTCAATATACTATACACGATTGACGTCTTCACGTGTCCGACACTGCCTATCAATATCTTTCACTTTTAACCTCTATAACGTTGGGGGTCATTAACTTTTCTGACGCGTACCGACGTCGTGAAAATTCTCTATCATTCGTCGGTCACAATTGAGAAACTTTAAAAGTACACCCAAAACTATCGGGATTATGACCTCACGTTTTTATCCTAAAGAAACTAAACTAGATTAAAGACGAATTGATCACTTTAAAAAAAATGTATTTATGTTGTTGAATTTGTGAATGTTCATGATTTGTTGCGAAACAGACCATTCCGTGTTAGGCGATCACAGGACGGGAAACAAATTGCTTAAATTGTAATATCAACATAAATCACAAAAGTAATCAGATTAACGAAATCTGTGAAATTACGACATAAAATTCATCTTTCACCCGGAAAGTAGCTGCTTTATCGCAAGCCGCGACATTAGACTGTAGTTACGTCGTATTACCTGCCAATTGTCATAATTCTTAAAGTTTAATGTAATCGTGATGTTTCATTAATGAAAAATGACGGGAACACATATTACTAATAAATATTTAAATTCGACGTGAACTCTTTTTTTTTTATTTAGTGTTCTGTCTGACGACAGGTCCATATGAACAGGATCCTTCCATCCTTTTCTCGGACTGGGACCTGTTCATATACGTTCTTGGCAGATGATCCAGAAGTGGTTTGCAATTGCCTTCTTCTGTGTGTGA